TCTTCAAGTGCTATTCATCTTCATCAAGTACCACAATGGAAGAGAGATTTATATTCTTTTTGCACTCCATTTCAATTATTCAACGAGCAATATTATTTATTGATGTCTTCAGTTATATTTTTGACTTGTCTGGGATTCTTCTCCTACATTGTGTCAGCTTTGGGGCGATATAGTTGAATACAGACGGAAGCAGAAATCGGTTAAGTATAAAGAGACAACAATGCAGTATAAAAATAACTTCTTTTATTTATTAATCTAGCAATTTCCTTTTAATATTTATTTACTGGTACGGTGAAAAACAAAAGTTCCCATTGTTCAGGACACAATGACTTAATCTACTCCAGAGCTATTCGAAGTTGGACTATAACAAATTATGTTATTTTGAATTCCAAAGGTAATTGAATCCCTTAAACACTAAAAAAAAAAAAAAAAAAGCATGAAAAGCTCGCCCTGCATTCTCACAGCTCTTTATCCCTCCAGGCTGGCACAGGGAAACAACTCTAATGTATCTAGTAAGCATATTTTACTTCACAATTCTTATTAATATGACACATCTTAATATATCTTTTCTAAAAAATAATCAGACTGGGACAGTAGGGAGGAAAAAAAAAAAACCTTTCTTTTGGATTCTGCCATTAATTTGGGCTCCGGAGAATCAGTTTGTTCCTAATATGAAACATTGGAAATGAAGAGGGGAAAAAAGTTAAAGCCAATTTACATAGAATACAAAAAAATCCCCTAAAGCATTAAAATCAGCCTGAGAATGAGCCATTAGAGTGCATCACACAGTTTTTTAGAAAGTCTCTACCATAAGCAAATATGGAAATATTCAACTGAATTCAAATGAGAGCAAGTGCACTGTTTCATCTTATTAATAAGGCAGCATTGCCCCTTGTGTGCATGTGAATATAGAACAGGACCTTGATTTAAACCCAGCGTAAACCTGAGCTCCAAAGTCATTTTGATTCCAATTTGTGGAGCTATTCATGAGCCATGTGGCTTAATTCCTTATATTTAAAAATGTAAGAGAGTTTACGACCTGTAAACGGCACTGCTTACAGCGTTTTTATCTCAAGAAGAGGGAGCTGCTGCCACGTTGCATCACACAGCCTCAGTGGGAAATGTGTTTTTCACGCCTGTTTTCCTCTCTACCACATTTCAGCATTTGCCCTCGCAGACACTGACCAACAAACCACAGAGAGCTTGATTACTGTTTTTTAAATGAGACAGAGTGAGTTACTAAGAAGAGAAAAAAAAAGGACACAAGTATCTAAATAGCTGAGCAATGAGGCTCCCATTTGACCTGGTCACATCATCAGTCTAAATCCTATCGACGGGACCAAAACAAATTGTAGGGCCGAAAGGTACTTGTAATCGCACTCAGTCTCTCCGGACCGCTCCCCTCTCCCACCCTCTCTCTCTCCCACTCTCCACTCTTTCATGACTAGCTAATGAATGTAGATGGTGCTCTGGGGGATGCAGTGGTCTTATTACAGGGGTTATGTGTGCAGGCTGTAAGCTCAGCGTGCTCCAGTCAGGCTATGGTGAAAGGTTCAATTGCTTCAGTGAAGCCCCCACCTCAATAAACAGAAGGGCTAAGGAGGTTTGTTTATTGGGCCCACCTTGACGTGACCTCCGTAGCTCAGGGACAGGCAGCGTGATTACCTTAGTGTCAGTGCCGCCCGGGGAGAATGGGGCCAGGGTGCTTTTGTTGGCCCGCTCTCTCTCTCTCTCTCTCTCTCTCTCTCTCTCTCTCTCCCTCCCTCTCTCTCTCTCTCTCTCTCTCTCCCTAATAAATCACAGGAATAAGCGCACAAACCACAAGAGTGGGACAAATGCAAAACCAAAGAGAGAGTGATGTAAGCCTGAAGATTAAATGGTTTATCCAGCATATTTTCAGTCAAACATTTGGGATTTGCTTCTGTACTGTCAGTCCACAGCTTACTCATCAAATACATTCAGTAAATAGCTATTAAATACATTGATTAGATGATCACATGAGGAGGTGAAAAGTAAATATGAGATTCTCCTTGAATGATGCTACATGGTCAAAAGTATGTGGACGTCCGAACATCATACTCATGTTACACGTGACTTGCTGGACACCTCATCCCAAAAATCAGTTCATACACTGCAACAAGAGTCTCCACTCTTCTGGGGAAGGTTTGGAACCTGACTGGATGGATTTTCTCCCATTCACCCAGAGGAGCGTTAGTGAGGTCGTACACTGATGCTAAGCGAAAAGGCCTTGGCTTGCAGTCAGGGGTTGCAGTTCATCTCCAAGGTGTTGGATAAGTCTGAGGTCAGAGCTCTGCGCAGGCAAGTCAGGTTCTTCTACACTTAACATTTATTTATTGACCTGCCAGAGTCACGTTGGAAAGGAACAAGAAAGGAACTTTCATAAACTGTTCTTTGTACACTGTATCGTGGAACAACAATGTTCGACAACAGAAAAATACCAAGCATACCATGTTTTGAGTATAATTCATGTGGATTTTGGACATAACAAAAGAAAATTAAATGGAGTGGAGCCCCCTGGCTAATGAATTAAAAGAAATAATGTAACAATAATGCAATACTTACACATACAACATAATTCTTTGCTGGTAAAGTAAAAACTCGAAATAGAGTTAACTGCTGTCACAGCTTTGTCTTCTTCTGTCCTAAATTGAAACACACCTCAACAAGGCACATGCAATAATCCATTTTGTTTCATCTAATGTGTATCCTCTCCCCATGTAGTCTATCCTGTCATGGCCCTGGATTTTGATGCCCCTATCTAAGTCTCTTGCTGGTCATGTTTTTTTTTTTTTTTGTTTTCAGCTAACATGGAGATGTTTCCCTCCAGACATTGTGTGCTGTTTGTCCTCCAGTGGAATAAGACTCATTATTTCAATGTGTAGTCACAGTTTCTACCGTTACGCCCAGGGATCAGGCCATCTCTCCATTAAGGGAAATAGCTTCTGAAAGGTCTTGTCCCCTGCCACAAACTCACAAACACACACACACACACACACACACACACACACACACACACACACACACACAGCGATGCATGCACACACCTACTGTACTGCAGTGGTGTAGCGTCAGGACAAGGAAGGCAAACAGTGCTTGACCAGTTAAAGCTAAAAACAGACATCGATCTGAACAATACTGAGGTGGAACGATATCTCCCTTTACATCTCACAACAGCGTTTTGTCCTCTAATGGATCTGTTATTACCTGTTTGCATTCATCTTGTAATTTACTGCTCTCTTGTGGCCACAGGAAGGTATTGTCTCTGAATGCTAGCTTGACTACCAGCCGTTGGATCTACCTTTTCTTGCGGATAATACTAGGATGTTTTCGTTTATGTTGTCTTATTAATCACCTTGGTCAACATGTGACGATGGGGAGTTTATGTGTATTGTGGAGAAGCTTTTAACAACTGCTTTTGCAAGGAAAGCTTTCATAGACATTTTAATTCTGTACTTCTTTTTAGTTATCATAATAATATCTTTTCCTTTCTATTAATCAAGTTGTAGGGTTCTCTGTGTGTGAGTTCGAGACAGCATATTGAGGAAGGAAAATAAAGGACTGTGCTTTGTCACTGGAGTGTGTCATTGGAAGTAAATGGTAAACATTTTGAAGATTATCATAAAAGTGATGTTAAGATATTTTTTTCCTCTATAGGCTACTGCAGATTTGATGTTTCGTGTCAGTTCAAAAGGAATAATCTTGATACTTCTTCAGCCAGGAAGGAGAGCAGAAAGGTGAAGATGATGTCCAGGCAGGGTGCAGCAAGATGCAGGAGAGAGACTGTCAGCCCAGTAAAGACAAGCACCACAAAATCATTAGACAGGACAGGCCCTCGATTTAAGAAAAATCTGCTACTACTTGGTTCACGAAAAGGTGTGTCTGGTCCGTGGGGGTGGGGGGTATTTAGTTCTTCAGCTCTGCGTGGTTCTTTATCTTGTGCTTGCCTATCTGTAAGAGTCTCCGCTGTACTGGTATCACTTTTTTCCCTGTGATGCTTGACTTGTGTTACTGCTACATCGTTGAATTCCCTTGTGCAAAAAAAACAAAAAACAAAGCCTTACAGCACATCTTTACCTTGCTGGTGAGCAGAGAGAGCAAGAAAGCTCAGCCAATTATAACAGTTTCTTTTTGCAAAGCAAGTGAGGTGAACTGTGGCCAGCACATGAGACTGACCTGCACCGTGAAGAGTCAGTTGTGATGTACTGTACATGCTGTACTAGTTAATAATAACGTGATGTTATAATTTACTCATACAGTACAAGTTATTATATGATATTTGTTATGATGCATTTTGATGCTTAATCTAGATTTTTTTTTTTTTTTATTGTTGAAGGCTCTAAAAACGCTTTCAGGCTGCATCTTCCTTCTCTAAAAGCAGTTAACAGGAGATAGTGTGTTTGACTCCACATACAATCATGACTAAGAGGTTGTTGGTTTAAATCTCTGGGAAATCCACAAACAGTGTGCAGAGAAAGTCAATGAGCAATGCACTGTCTTCATCAACAAAGTCTATTATTCAGCAAGACACAGAGTAAAGATAATTTCCAAATATGTGAGAAAGTGTATTTGTTTGCTTTTCTTCTGAATGCCATTAATGCCCATGAAATTTCTATCCTGCTGGTGTATTTGCCACAGTCTGATGCAACTGCTGTCTGTTCTCCTGTTTCTCAAAAGCTCCCATTAAAAAAAAGAAGAAAAAAAAAACATTAAAAACTGTTTTCTGGATCAACCTTTTTTTTTTTAGTTTTCATGAGCAATGGCCACAATAGAGAAAACATAAATCAATAAAATTATACCAGCACTTTTCTTTATTCCGCAGTTTCCACAGTAGAAACTGTTGATCAGCCAATAGCACACTTTGGTATGTATGTGTGTATATTATGTATATTATGAATGAAAAATCCTTTATGAATGAAAGTACCATGCTCAACCACTAATCCCTGAAAAAATAACAATGAGTAACATGTGCAGTGTTGTACCTATGTGGCTTCTGTGTGACGATGCACTGGTCAGTTGTCCCCAGAGAGACACCATACAGATGGTCAGCAGCAGCGCCCTTCTGCACATGCTCTGTAGGTCCCTCTTCCGCATTCTGGAAAAAGGGCAAAGACAAAAATCATTAGCCATTTTTGCATCACATGAACACTAAGATGTGCAGGATGGCTCACTTGGGCCACTGCCAACGAGCTCCCAAAGCTTTGCCTTGGCAGTCAGAGGTGGTCAATTAGAGTAACTGCTGGAATCGAAAAGCTTGGATCTACAGTGCTTTAACTGGACGCCTTGGCCGTGTTAAGGATTAGCTTGCCGAGGGCCACGCACAACAGGGTTCCCCATGATGCACAAAATGCAGCTGCATACTGCCGGGAAATTTCAAATAACACATACCGACGAATGCTTTCCATCAGACGGAATTTAAAACACAGAAGTTTAGTAGCAAAATTGGTTCTTTCAGTGCAAATGCAGGAGTCAGTGGGTTTGCCTATAGGGTAAAGTAAATCTGTGCTAATTCTTTTATTAAACTTTGCTGAACTCTGACATGCAAACTCACGCTGTGGACCAATGGCAAGCCATCCTGACAGTGCTGACCTTTGAGGAAACAGAGGTAGCGGCAGAGAAAGCTATCATAACTCATTAGATTTGTCACACAGTCCAGCTTTATTTAACCTCCTCTGTCAGAGTTGAACTACTCCACAAAAGAGGAATGGTTTACAGACAGTGAGACAGGACTCAATGCTACCAACATGGCTACCACTTTTTGTCAAACTCTGTGAACTTACTGTCCTTTTAGAACCAAACTAACAAGCTGACTAGCGGTCAGTTTACAAGCTAGTTAGCTTAGAGAGCTTTTTTCCCTTGTACTATGACTTTTTATTGAACGAAATGATGTAAAATCCCAAGAACAAAATGCCAGAAGTAAACAGTAGGCTACAGAGTAGATAGAAAGAAGGTCAGGGAGCTAATTTACATTATAATTAGCGAACATATTCCTGACTGGCTGGTGTGTTAGCCAATAGTTTGCCAGCTACAACAGTTCACCCACTAGCCATGCAAGTTATTCGCTACGTTTCCAAAATATTTGGCCAATTTCGCTGCACCATACAGCCCTCTTTCCCCTTTAATATCATGCAGGGATTCACACCGCGTAAGCTTTCTTTACCAAAATAAATCAAACAAGTTACATATTGGATGCTGATTCAACAAAATTTTGGGTTGCATTCGTGTGTAATTATAATAGCATGCACTATATGTGTTGTCTGGCTACATTCTTGCAGACACATTCAATGATAATTTTAGAAACTATAAACACACTGCAATTTATAATACCAATTTGGATCTGGAGACAGAGAGCAAATGAAGTCTCTTTACGCTCTCTGTCTCGTCTCGCCCACTTGCTGTCATCCTGCTACCTGGGAGGTGAGTAATGCTGTTTGTGTGGTCTGTCTTAATGTGCTCTGCTCAGTAATCTTCTTGTACTTTCGGCGGGCTGTTGTTCAGTAATTCTCTCCATCTCCATCTGAGAGGCCCGTGGAGAGCGGAACAAGCAATGCAATCAGTAGCTCATCTTACTGCCAACAGAACTGGCCTCCTCTCTCTCGTGAGGAAGCAGTCGCAAATCACAGCTCTGCTTTGAACTCTGTTCCAGTGCAGTCAGTCAAATTAGTAAAATGCTTGGTTTCATGCAAAGAGATCAATTCTTGCTTATCTGGCAGAGACTTGCATGTGAGGGAAATGTTTTGCTGTGACTGCCTTTGTACTGACAGCCAGAGCTGGGTGAGATCTTAACGGGAGGCTCTAATTCTGTACAGTCTCAGACAGCTGACGCAACTGGGATGTTATGAGCACAGGCACAGTGTCTGTAACATCACACACAGATTTATGAAGGGACCAGTTGAAGCCTGGGGTTTACATTTACACTCATTGCCATCTGGACAGGTGCTGGAGCCAAATAAACCAGCTTTGGGCGAAAGGGTTAGATTCTGGATGGACCTGGGGTGAGGTGAGGTGAAAAAGCAGCAACCATGAAAGTTGACTGTGATAGGCTTAGACACCTGTCAATCAAGACAAACTTTGGCTACAATATGCATCTATCTGATCCTCAATATTCAGCGGAAGAAAATCAAGTTTCAAGACAATCGCCCAGCAACATTTTGATACGTACAACATGACTCAAATGAATTGAGTTTCTGTTTCTTGAGAGAGGTTGGGACTTTCCACACATGCTTGGACGCAAGACTGCCAGCTAAAAAACATGGATGCAAACAGTGCAGGTTTTTGGATTAGTCTTAAAATCTGCTTCTATGTGTTTTATGAAGGAGAAAGTAAACTCAGCAAATTTATTAAGCTTCAAGGACAAGCAATGCATTTTGGTAAGAAACGGTGACACACACCACGAGGTACCTTTACCGACTAGAGACCCATTAATGGACTACACTGTGGTTACCCACAGACATTGTCTGAATTTGTCTGGCTTCTGCAGATTGTAACGTTACAGAGGAGACACACACCTCAGCATCCTCAGATCTTTTAGTTCGTTCATCAGGGTCTGACCAGTTAAATTAACTCACACTGAGTTAGAGAACTAATTTTCACCTGCAGCTCCTGTAGTTTGGTCCCGTACCAACACACTGCAGCTCCAACACCAAATCAGATGAACTGGTAACATGATTAAAAATAGATTTTTTCTTTCTTTTTTTTTTACTTTGGCAGAGTGAAGTTGGAGCACTGCTGCAAATACAGCACTTATAATGTGAGTCCTGCTTTAGAGACCAGCTCAGCAGTTCCACTTCACTTTCAGTTTATTACCTTTAATTTCTTCCACTTCTGTTTATCTTATAAAAGACATATTAAACCCACATTAAATATTTTAGCCCGTCCACAATCTTACTTTTACTTATTTGCAGTTAGCTTACTGATAATAAGACGAGAGAAAACTAATAAATCTTTCTGACAGCTGAACTCCAGAAATAATTGGAATTTGAGAGCATGCTGCCCTGCTTGTTGAAAATGAAATGTCAAGCAGTTAGTCTGTGAGTGTTTATAGATTTTTGGGTATGGACAGTAGCACGCCTGGTTTTATTCCAAACTAGATTCAAATGCACTCTAGCATCTAATCCTACAATTTGCATCTTGTGTCTGGTAGTGTTCAGGTGGCTTGTTGGAGCAGGTTAACAGGAAATTATTCCACCTGATGGACGCGACACTGAGACCAGGTGGCTCATCACAAAATGGCCTGATCAGGGTAAACCTATTTAGGCACAGGTTAGGTCTGATTTTAACATGCAGGAGGCACACATACACATGTATAAGACAGAAAACATTCACATTTCATTTGTTTTCACCAAAAACATGCTCTTGTGCCAATTTAGGTATGACTCATTTGTTTATAGACAACTCAAAGCACTAGGATAAGATAAGGAACAGATCGACAGGTCAAGAATGACAAGACAGGACATTTTCACTTTTTCTATATTCAACCAAAATCGCAATCTCAGTATTTTGAGAACCAACACTTAACCATAACACCCTGATCCATGCCGACCACCTCCTTCCGGCTTTTGCGCAGTACAAGTGTGAAAACCAAACTTTGCCTGTGAACATTATCCACACATCAGTGATGTTTCCTCCCAACATGCAAAAGACAGCTTTGGCTGACTGCACCATGACCACCAGAAGAGCTAAATTAAGTATGAACACCACACATTACCTCACTGAGCAGCTCCTCACGGAACAGGTGCTGGTTAGATCTGGCTTCTCCACAAGAAAGTGTACGGGAGCCCTGAGAGGCAAGAGAAAAAAATCTTCTCTTTTTGTCAGGATTTGTTATAGTATGTAAATATTGTTTGCTAAGGAAGTGTTTTTTTTTTGTAATATTTATTTCAGCCACAAAAGTTGTGACAAAATGAAAATAAAAAGTTAAATAAGTTAATAAATATATCCAGATTTGATCCCCAGTCTCCTAGGTGAAAGTCCTGTGTTTAACTCATTCATCCACTGTGACCTGCTCAGTATGTGGGTTTGTAGCGCTTTATCCTATCGCATGAATACATTTAGTCCTATTTAAAATGCACTTCAGTCTCTTGTGGCTGAAATGAATATTACAAAAACAAACACAAAAAAAAGATCCTGACAAATTCTTTTTCCCACTTGCCTTGAGGGCTTCCATAAACGTGTCATTGAACAACCGCATTAGCGACTCGTCTTCTAAGTTTTTCTTTTCCATTTTTAAGGCAATCCACTTTGTAATTTCAGGATAACCAGCTGACACTGGTTATGTATGCTGCATGCTGTTAGCAACTTTTGTATTACATAGCAAACTCAGTAAAATAATAGTCTTTCCACCCTTCAATCCTCTTCTACCTTTGTTATTATCACAGCTGCTAATTGCGAAGGAATCCTCTCTGATTACAGACTAATGGAAAGACATACTCAACACACAAATGTCCGCACACACACACACACACACACACTTTCACACAAGCTTTCACACAACAAACACCCCCCAGAGCACCTATTGCCTCGTAGCGGCAGTGAGTCAATGGGACCGATACGACAGAGGAGTGTGTTTACAGCTGATACATGACACAGAGTGGACGAGCTTGAGGTGGCTGCTGTGGTTGGAGGGCGAAACAAAACCGGTGTTGTGTTTTATGTTAGGCGTTTTTGTTTACCTCTTATCTAAATGTGACACACTGCCGGCTGTGTAGGCCTACCAGCAGTCATGCCCCAGGCCAAGCCTTCCCCCAGTTGCATAAACAGCTATTATAGAAAACATCGAGTGTGCTGGGACTCACTACGTCAGTCCAGCTGAATTAAACCTTCAGTTCAGTTGCTGTTGTAACACTGTTTTTTTTTTCTTTAGGTGACAGTTTAGAGAGAAAAAGAGATAGGAAGCAAGGGGGATATGTCATGCAACAAAGGTCCCCTGCCTGGAATACAATAGCGGATGTTGTGGTTATGTGGTAGGTACCTCAATTGTCATGGCACCCGACGCCCTGTTACACTTAGACTTCATATACTAAATCTATGTTCTTGCAGAAACTGGTATGAACTCCTTAGCACACTGTTCATCGTTTGCTTACACATAATTAGCTT